ATCTTTGGATGATTTGGAGATCATACCTGTATCAATGAAACACGTACACTTACGCAAAGCAAGCTCTAGCAGCGTATAAGATGAACAAGCGGCATCTGTTGATGAATGAATGTGATTGTTGAACGTGGAGGCTACTACAAGCTTTTGAGAATTTTTTTATAAAACAAATTTTTTATGTAATGCAAGATTTTACAACGACTGCTTGCTCTTGGTTTTGGATTCGTGCTCTTTCTTTGATGCGTTGTGTTTTAAAGTTCGACTTAAATTCATCAATAATAGCACCATATGTGACAGAAATTGTTTTGCTTGGAAGAACATTCGGGTATTGTAATTGAAGAGCAATTAATGCGTTCAATGGCTTATTCAATTTGATGATTAATTCTTTTAGCTGTTTGTTTTCCAATGATAAGGCCTCGTTTTTCTCTCTGAGGTCTTTGACTTGCTGAAGGAAAAAGATATCACTAGCGAAATTCTTATGATCAGTAGGTTCTGTAGACTTGGGCTCATTTTGCAAAGGAGAATCACTCTCTTCAACATTTGAATTTGAGTTTGTTCTTGAATCCGAAATTTCCGGTGGAGTTATAGAGAGAACTTCATTGTCATCAATCTTGTCATCATCGACTTCAGTGTCATAATTCATGGAAAATAAGGAGACGGGAGTACATCCTTGCTGAACCGTAGAAAAAGCATTTTGAATCATAGGAGCATGATTGGTTCGATCTTCAATTAATGAAAGGCATGAAATATCAAAAATCGTCTTCTTTTGATCTTGAACGAAGGATGGAACGTGAAATATAATGTCATTTAAACTGCAATTAGTTGAAGTGAATGATTGAACTCTTCCTTTACCAATCTTGTAGTAACAATTCTCTCCCTTTTCAATAATTTCAACTAAATCTCCAACTTTGAGATTTGAACGGACGATGAAGAAGTTCTCTCTTCCCATTCATTTTCAAGCGTTGTGAATGATAATGTTAATGTAAATGTTGATACGTTGATGAAAAAAATTCTCAAGTTTGCAGTAACAAGTTCTCTCTCTGAAAATTGTCTCAAAATGGTTTTGAATCTAATTCGAGAAGCCATTCAACTCATTCATGAGAGTGATAAACAAGAACTTTCAGATAAGCTGACATTAACAGGGTTCTATAAGTATTTCCTTTTGTCTTCAAAGACAAAGAAAATTCCAATGTGCACTGATTGTCAGACGTATCAAAAAAATCCAGACCAAAAATCCTGTCCTAAATGTGGGAAATTATGGAAAGATATCAAAACTCATTGCTTTTTACGCCCATTAAAATTCCAATTCGAGGAAAGGATATTCAGAGAGCCACAATTTTTGGATCAATTTAAACTTGATAATCGTGATCCCCAACTTATCCAAGATCGCTGTGACGGAGACATCTACAAAAACATTCACAAAAAATTCGTAGATGCAGGAGGAAAAACTATGACGTTATTTGGTGACGGTGTTGCTCCGTTTAAATCTAGTCAGCAAAGCTTTTACGAATTCTCTATCACATTCAATGAGATGAAATCAAATGTAAGAAAGAAGCGCAAGAATAACTTTTTGTGGCTACTATTTCCTAACAAACCATCTCAAGAAGAAATCAATTTGTGTTTGAAAATCATGATGGATGATTTGAATGTGTTCAATGATCAATTTAAACAAATATCATTGAGATTAGAAAGAGTAATTGCTGACTTACCTGCAAGGTCTAAAATTCTCTTATTTCAAAAATCAGGGTATTATTTTTGCCATTTATGCAAGATTCGAGGGGAACCTGTTCAGTTATCAGGAGGAACTACTCAAGTTAGATATCCACTTAGGAGAGACATTTCTAGCAATCAACGAATTGTTTTTGGTTTGAGAGATCGACATTTTTGGAATAATGTTTCGGGAAAAGAGTTGTCATGGGGTGTTCGTAGATATTCTCCAATATTAGACCAGAGTTGGAAACCAACTCCCACTACAATATGCTCCTATGATTCAATGCATAACTTGTATGAAAGAATTATGCGTGACATGATGGAGATGATTCCACTTCAATATTGGGACGAGTTCGACAAGGAATATCTCAAGCAAAAATTTCCTTCGTTCTTACATAGACACCCGAGATCAGTTTCCAAAAATTTAGTACACCTTAAGGCAATGGAGATATATATGATTATTCACTATTATCTAGATCTACTTCAGGATGTTAAGAATTTCAGTATGATTGAGTTGAAGTATAAAATTATTAAGAGAATGGTTGTTGTAATTGACAAGTTAACAGATGCCATTAATATAGCTGATTTGAATTCAATTAATGAGGAATTAAGAGGTATTTTGGAGGATTATCAAGAGATGGTGGGCATTGCAAAGGCTACAATGAACTTCCATGTAGCTAGTGATATGGTGCGAAATGCAAGCCTATATGGTCCATTGGCACATAATACAGCCTTTGTTGGGGAAAATCTAAACTTCACATTGACCAAGCCGTTCATTTCATCAAATTCTGCAAGGTATTCTATTATGTTTTTTGATATGGCGCAGTTATGCGATATATTTGGTTTAAGTGAACTCAAACCTTCGGAATGTGTGTGTGGTCATTTCGTATTGAAGAAAGAGAGAGATGTTGTGGCTGATACTTCTTGTACTCCTGCAAAATACTTCAAGATCAAATCATTCACGGATTCCACAGTGACTTTGCAGAATTTGTCAGACAGGTCTGTGATTGAAGTGTCCTACAAAGAGCCTCTGGTTCCTTGTGTTACTGTTACTAGAAAGGGGAAGAGTTATTTCATTCCGATGCACAAGAACGTAAATCAATATATTTAATGAAGCCGTGATGAAAAATAAACCTTGCTTTGTTTCGAAATTTTTTTTTTTGCAGGTGCGCAATTTTTGCGTTGTTTTTTTAACGCAAAAGCGTCAACTTTGCGAAGAGGGTTGCGGGTCCATGAGAAGCGGGATCTTTGACGAACAAAAAAAAAATGCATCAACGCCTGTCACTTGCCGTTCTCTTGATCCTCTCATTATTGAGCTCCCTTGCTCTTTCCCAACCCAATTTCCCACCTGAATTTTCCACTCTCGTCTATCAAAACGAAGGTGGTTTTGTCGATTCCAATTCTGCCAAAATTGCCTTCATTCGTATCAGCAACTCGTGGAAAATCAAATCCGAACGTCTCGAAGTTCAATTTTTCAATGAACCTCTCCAAATTCAACTTCACAATGGAAACACTCAATTCATCTTTTATCCACACAACAAGACATGCACTGTGACTGAATTGGGATTTCCTCCACTCCCTCCTGATTGGCTTCTTAACTCCACATTTATTGGATACGAAACTGTCAATAATGTACCATGTAGAAAATGGAAACGTTTGACATCTACCTATTGGGAAAGTGCTGCGAGTGGAGAGCCAGTTCGTGTGAATGAATCGGATTTCTTTGTGTGGAATTATGTCTCTGGAACTTTCAAGGCAGGTCCACAAGATCCCTCGGGTTTCATTGTTCCATCGTATTGTTTAAAGAAGTAAAACATCAAGCGTTTGTTTCAATTACATCTTTTTGGAGTTTTTTATATTGTTCTCCATTCATGTCATGATTAATTTTCGGTGTGCAATAGTTTCTCCAAATTCGTTGAACTCTTCCAAAGTGACCCATAAATCATGATTTTGTGAGCATCTAGCAATGGCAAGTGCTCCCATCCATACAGAATAGTTTCTCTCTTGAGGTGCATTCACATGAACATTCATGTCCGTAGGAACCAAAGAATTCAACTCGTTTCTCAATCGAGTGTCAATTCCTGTAAACATGGTATTTCCTCCTGAAAGGACAATATTCGAATACAATGTGGATCTAAGATCGACGTGACATTGTTGAACGCATTGATAGATCATTTCGTGTAATCCTTGTGTTGGAATGGATGTTTTGGAACAAACCTGTTGTGGTTGAAAAATTATTTCACACGCTTGAAATTTCATTCGTGAATCTAAAAGAATTTCATTCCCGTCTGGTAATTGATATTTTTCACGACAATTTGACAATTCTTGTTGTTTCAATGCCAATTCGCTTTCATAATCTTGTGAAATATAAAAACCAAAATTTTCCTTCATTTTGGCCAACCATTGATCTTTCAGAAAGGAACATTTCGGCATCCATTCCTCACTTGTTGCTTTCAAACATTCGGTAAAGAGTCCTTCCAAATGTTCATTCATCACTCTTCCTCCAATGGATTCAGTTTTCACAACGGCATGAGACAAGACCACTCCTTCATGGATGGGAATGACACATGTCATGTCATGTCCACTGCTCACTTCCAATCCACTGTTACTTCCAGATCGCAATAAGGAACATAAGGCCTTATTGGCAAGATAGAATTTTGGAACCAAAAAGCTTTCGAACATGAGATTCAAGATTTTCTTCTTTTCCAAAATTGGTAAACATGAATGTGTCATGATGCAAGGATGATCTTCGGATAAAATTCTCAATTCCGATTCATAGATGAAATGTAACAAGTGTTCAAAATCTTCCCAATGCTGAACTTGTCCATGTTGAATGGGATAATGAAAGAAATTGTTTGGAATGGTACCATTGACTTTCTGTTTTAGGAATTTACCAATTTCATAATCTCCAATCTTTATCAACGATCGTTCTGAGGTGGATTCGAACGTCTTTGAAATTTCATTATTATTTTTATCATGATCATGAGGAGGATACAACAGAACATTCCGAAAAACACTTCGGGGAATGAATTCACGATGATCAACTCCACATTGAACGTGATAACTGCCAATATCCAAGACACATGAAAGAGCTTGCATTTTTTTTTGTGTTGTTGATGGAGAGAGATGTGTTGGAAAGTTCATCCTTAATCATGATTGGTTCATGGTTTATTGAAACCATTCGGCATTCTATTGATCCAATATGTTTTCATTTAATGATTTCGCTTTTCCAAGATTTCAAAAAGTTTTCATCCTTAATCATGATTGGTTCATGGTTTATTGTTTAATATATATTAAATGTCAGGTGTCAATTTAGCAGCTCCTGTATTTCGTTTGAACATGAAAATTCCCCATACCACGCTCCATATCCACCCCACTAATAAAAACGAAGTGAAGAATTGCAACAACCCAAATATGATACTGTATTTCTTCTTTTTTTTGGACACACAAGCAGCAACAAGAGTTCCAATTCCAGGAAATATAATATTGAGTATAAGAATGGTAATATGCCAATTGCCGTCCAGTTTCGGAATGTATTTGAGAATGGCTTTTAATATGGAGGATGTCTTGTGAACATGATGTCAATGAACTTGTTGAAAGAAAATATATTGAAATACTCACTGCTGACATATGACGGTGTTAAAGGTTTTTTTTTTGAGACAATTGTGTCCTTGGAGATGACGAGATTGTCTTGGTTTGGATGAATGAGATACCAAAATGAAAAAACGGCAATTTGACATTCGACATTTTCGTAATAACGTTGTTTCATCTAATTTTCTTGTCTTTGGAGCTACAGTTCCCAGTCCTGTTTTGAGAAGTTAGGTCCATTAGAATTAATGTAATTCAATTCTACCTCTCTGAATTAACTTTTAGATGAAACTGAAAACAAATGCCTTCATAGAAGATCAATTTCAGACCAAATTGTCAACAATTTAAATTATTTGAAAAGTGGCAGAAGTTCTGGAAGTGTTTTGATGGTTAATCCCAAACTCCCAATCAAAGTTCTCACTGTGAAAAAGTAGTTACTTTTTTGAAATCATCAAAATCTCAACTACATTTCGTTCTTTTGTATTTAAAATTTTTTCCTATTAATCCAATAGTATTTCACAACAACAACAACTTTTTGAAATAAAAATTAATATACACCCTTAATAAAGTTCTCACAAATTATCTGAATGAAAAACACACGTTATCTCATGATAATGATTTCCATGTTGTCTTATATTTGCATAATCTGCCAAACATTTAAAACAAAATTCATATCCACATCGACAAGTCATGTGATCACATCCTTGATTCTTTTCAATGGCATGTCCACAACGAGGACATTGTTTGAAATTTTCCTGAATCCATTGTTGATCTTGTTGTGTTTGAAATCTCTCTTCGAATTGTTGACATGTATATCCGTCATGCCACACTGTTCGATGTTGTAAGTACAGAGAGACAATGTTGGCAGTTCATTCGCATAGTTCCGTAAAGAGTTGTGACACTTCGAGTGTCGTGGGGATGATTACATAGAGGACAGGAAAAGAGAAATTCAGCATCATTCAAGGCATGATTGAGAATGGCAAGTCTATTTCTATTTTCTAAAAAAGTATTTAAAACTTGTTGAGGAAGTTTTTACGGACAAGTTCCTTGATTTCAATATATCGAAAATTGACTCGACAAAGTGGACATGGGACATCAGAGAGTCCTTCTTGTATTCGATGTTCAATATGTTGAATTAATCAACCTTCACAAATGGCTTTGGTATGACAGATGCAATTTTTGAAATTGACAGCCGTGAATGGAATTCTTGTTTCCAAACAAATAGGACAGTCCTCTTCTTCTTGGTATTCAATATACTCATCTACATGTGTCGTTGAGGAAGATTCATACATTGTGGAATGTCTTCGATGGTCAATTGAAGAAGAATTTCCATTTGTGTTAAAACTCAAACTGGGACGATAATTATGAGAACTGCTAGAATTGTTGTTACTTGCAATGAGAGTTTCAAACATTTGTTTTCTATTCCTAACAGAATCAACATTTCTGCTATTTGAACTTGTTGATACTTGATGATGAATTCCTTGTTGTGTGGAATTGTCACCTCTACTCTCTCGAGCTCTTCTATTTGTTAAGGATGTCTATTACTACGATTCGTGTTGCTAGTATTCGACGATTGCGAGCCACTTGCATTGTTATTTCTTTGAATATTTTCAAATACTGCTCTAGCTCTTCGGAATGGTGAATCCTCATCTGTTTGTGTCATTGATTGTGTAGCACCATGTTGAGAAGTGTTGTAAGCAGAAGTGGATGTTGAGGATGTGTTGGTATTAGTAGTATTAGTAGTATTCGAGCTAGTAGTGGAATTTCTCAAAGAAGCCAAAGATGTGACACTTCTTCCAACAGGTTGCTGCGACGTTTGCGAAAGCGTTCTTGTCTCCGCAGAGGATTGTTGCGGTGATGTTGATTTGACACTCTGTTGGATGTGACACTCATTGACTGAGGTTTTACATTCTCTTGAGTTTCATTCTGACTATTTGATGCTGAAGAAAATGTCATCAATACTTTCATTTCGGAATTGGAATTCCAATTTCATTCCGGACAATCTTTCGGAAGAGAGAATTCTTTCAAGCAAGGAAGGGATAGTTGCTTGATCATTCTCGTAAATTCCAAGAAAATTTGCTAGAGTGGGAGGTAGCTCGAGTTTGGATCTTGGTGTTGATGATGAGTCAAAGTCGAAAGAAAGAGAAATGGTATTACTGCTGTTGTCAACGTGTTGGCGACTCTGACGTGTTGACATTTTTTTTGAAAAGTGAAATGGAAAATTAAATTACAAATTCGAGGATTATTTTCAGAACATGATCCATATATTTATCTCATTACTGGTCCATAAAGTATTGAAAAATTCTTTTATTTTCCTAAAAGTTTTTTTATTTCAACAACAGTAGCGTTTCTCATCAAATACATCAATTTCACATCTGCATTTTCGAGAAAATAAAAAAAACAAAAAAAAATGAAACTACCAACAGAATCATCACACGGGATGGCAACTCTCAATAATAATCAACCCATTCCTCCGTATCTTCAATGTGGTATTTGTCACAATGCTTTGGATGATCCTATCATTCACATAGAATGTCAATTGTTATTTTGTCAAAAATGTGCAAATAATTCAACAGCCAAGTGTCCGCAATGTCAAACTCAATTCACAGAATCATCACTCTCTAAAACTGTTCCACGTTTCGTTACAGATGCTTTACAACAAGTTACAATTCCATGTACAAATTGTCAACAAATGGTTTTGAGAATTCAAATGCAACAACATTTACAAAATTGTGAAATTCCATGTCGTTTGGGATGTGGATGTCGAGTCTCTCCACAACATCAGCAACAGCACGAAAAGGAATTTTGTACAATGTTTCAAGTGAAATGTTCGGATTCAAATGAATGGTGTGATTGGAAAGGTCCAAGAGGTGAATTGAAAGTTCATGAAAATTCATGTGTTTTCTTGAATCAGAAAGAAATGGTTTCAAAATTTAAAGAAAAATTAAATGAACAAACAAAAGAAATGGAAAAGAAAATGACCATGCTTTTACAGGAAATTGAATTTAGAAATTCGAAAAATATGTTTGATCTATGTATGGAAATCAATAAGGAATGGATTTCCAATTTGAAACTATACAAGATATATTTGGATAATTACAAATACGATGATACTGGAATATTGCATTATTTCAACGAATGTGAATTTGTTGAATGCACTGTGAATTGCTGTCACATTTTTCACACATGCATTTTTAAGAATTGTCAACAAGTCCATTGTCAGAGCGCGAACGAATGCACGTTTGAGAATTGTGAAGAATTGAAATTTGACACTTTGACCAATGTCACGATCAAGAATACAGAAAAATTAAGAATTTTAGAAGTACAATATGTCACACTCGAACAACTCATTCTCCTTTCTGAACAAATGAAAGATCAACATTTAGAATTGAATGGCGTTAAGGGAACTTTTTGTGAAAAACCAGGATGGTTGGAACAAGTTGCAAAATATCCAAAAAAATTAACATTCTCAAGCATGACTTTTCAAAATGTGACACACGAATCATCATCCACTCCAAAGAATGTAGAGTTTACAAATTGTCGCTTTATCTAAGACAAGGAAGAGAATCATTGGTTTGTGAAAACAACAATGAGAGATGTTTTAAAGTTTTGTTTTAAATAAATTTAATTTGAATATCTTGCAATTCAGCACAACTTCCTGCACTTGATAATTTTGCAAATCTAAATAACTTGCACATAAATTCTTTCAATTGCTTACTCTCCTCTATCACATTTATACAACAAGGAATAATAACCTCCACTTGATATTGAATGGACGGTATAAAGTATCACTGGTATTCAGAGGTGATAGAATATTCTTATGTCTTTTAACATCAATTCCACAAATAAATACACCAAAATGAAAAAACGGCAATTTGACCTCCGACATTTTCGTTATAACGTTGCTTCATCTAATTTTCTTGTCTTTGGAGCTACAGTTCCCAGTCCTGTTTTGAGAAGTCGTGTGAATTGTCCATTTGAATTAAGGTAATTCTATCATCATATTTCCCAACGCTTGTTTATTTTGAAGTCATGACCTTAATACACAGCACATACATATTCATTAACATCAATGTTAATTCAACTTGCTGTCACGTCTATAATAATATTCAGAAACAGCCATATCGTCCATCATAATCTCCTGAGAAGCAGCTACAAGACTTGCTTGATTGATCGTTGTTGTTGAAGATGCAGAAGCAGCCTTTCCTTGCTTTGAGCGTCTCCATGAGCGATACATTAATATCAAAATGATACTTCCTATTAACACACTCACATAAACAGCAATACCTCCAACAATGCTCAAAGTGGTCACTAGCGGCACTGAAGGTGCTGTCTCAATATCCACGTTACCTTTTTGTGGTTGGGTTGGATCTACTGATAATTGATAAATGCATTCAGTCGAGTCCAGTAATTCCCAGTCTCCTTTTCGATAAGTGGCCAACAATGAGAAGTCTTGTTTAGTATTGGCAGTAATTCCATAATTCACAATTTGCATGCTCAACATTTGATACTCTGCTGCAGCTGCAGAATTGGAAATTCCGCTCACACTTACTCGTTCCACATTATTCTTATCATCTGCATATTCTGTAGCGCCATTTGCCAAGATTAATTGCAAATTAGAACTCTCCTTGGTATTTACATTCCATGTATATTGATTCACAATAAGATCCAAATCATGAATAAGTTTAGGTTCGACGGCAATACTCGATGGCATGTCGTACCAAGCCAATGTTGCCTTAAATGCTGAAGGACTCTTTACCGTCTTTTTCATTCTCAAACACACACGCAAGACTTCTGAAGAGGATGTAAAACCGGCTTCCCATATTTTCATGTCTAATGCATTGCCATTAGAGTCTTTCAAAAGGTTTCCAAGTTGGACCTTGCCGAAACCATCATAAAAGTTTGGAGAGCCATATGCTTGTTGAATATTCTTTCGATTATTTTCATTGCTAGAAACGGCAACGCTTCCTGTGAGTGGTGTAGCACTGTGAATAAGAGCTGCTTTCAACAGGGTGCCTTTTGGAGTGGACAGTTGTGCGTACTTTTGGAAATATTCACGCAAGAGGCTGACAGCACCAGCTGTTAATGGAGTTGCCATTGAGGTGCCACTGCGGTGTTGAATGATCCAAACCAAAGAATTTTTGATTGATATCCACATGATTTTGTTCACAATTACTGGTTTGAGAATTTTCAACATACCTCATTAACAACAAGGCAGCACTGTTGCCAAGTTGTGGTGTTTGTGTACCACATTGTTTTGTGGTTAGAGAACCATCAGAGTGAGTGGAAATAACTGTGTGACCAACAGCCACAACATCTGGTTTGATTCTTCCACCTTATTCATTCATAGGGGAATGATTGAAGTTTCTGTCAGTTTTAAAAACAAATTTGATACTTACCACACGCAGGGCCTCTGCTACTGAAATACGCCAAATTATTTTCATTATAAATCGAGGGTTGTGACGAATATAATTGTGCAATGGTATTGGGACAGCAATATTCCCTCACTGCTTGATAGTTTGAACCTGAATAGGCACAACATTGCGCAGTGCTAGTGAATGGTAAACCTGCATCTTGCATCTTTTTCACAAAATCTTGATAATTTATACCATCTACGAAACCTGCATTACTGGTATGGTGAGCACCAACAGAGATGGTATTTTTCGAAACTGCTGGATAACCGGTGTTACCAAACTCAGATAGGTATCCTGAATTTCCTTGAGAAAACAAAATGACAGCATCTTTTCGCTCCCACAAGAATTTGTCAATGGCTTGACATTGACTGCTGTAAACATTACAAATATTACAACATGTTGAAGTGCCAAAGAGTGCCTTACAATCTGCATTCGTGACAGAGCTACCAGCGGCATAGGTTCCAACAGCTCGTGTCAATTGACAGTTGGAGCAGTCATAATTGCATGACACGAAACTATCGGGTCCACAACCCCAAGAATTGGAGAAGATGCGAACTCCATTGTCATAGGGCAGTTGGAAGATTGGGGTAACAGGATTTGGAATTGAAAGACCACCATTTCCTGCTTGAATGTCTGTGAACCAAATCTTACTTCCTGGAGCCATGCCATGATATCTGTTCAAAGATGCGTTTAGACTTTGATTCTCAATGGATCCCACAATGGCGCCACAAACATGTGTACCTTTTTGTAGTGTACATTTGTCATGCAAATTTAAAACAATAACAATTGCACATTGAGGAAGTATTCAAGTGACACCAAAGTTAAGATGTCAACATTCCATGTGATAGCACTTACCATGACCATCAATACCATCCATATTATCTCCATTCTTACTTGAGTAGTAAACAACCTTTCTTCGATTCATGTCCAAAACGTTCACTGTTGGAGTAGTCTTGGAATCATAGAAAAAGCAATTGTCATGATCAAGGCCAGAATCTGAAACAGCCACGACTTGATTAGTACCATAAATTCCCATGTCATAGAATGGTGTCGATGAAGTGGTGGATGATGCACTGGTCGAACTTGCTTGTTGCATGAGTGCACTCGCATAACGATTGTGGAGAGTCATTTCTAATTTTCTCTCAATGAAATGAACATGTGGATGGGACAACAATATCTCACCAATTTGGGCAGCTTTGAGAGGTGAGAAACTCATTTCACATTCATTCGCATGATGGAGAATGATGCTTGTAAATTCTTGATCTTTCCTAAACTTGGATTCGAGTATGGAATTGAGAGAGGAGACGACTTGTTGCAATTCTTCGTGCTCTTTTCCTGCTTGAATGGCCTCCAAGGATGGAATCAGTGAAATGACAATATCCAACATTGATGAAGTCGATTCTGCCATCAATCTCTCCGAATGGGCAGAAGCCTTATTCAATTGTTCACGAGATTTTTCTTCCAAGAATTGAAAATTGAGGGTACTCTTAAATTTCGTCTCGTATTCACCAATCCATTCGAAGAGAGAAGGATTCTCTCGATTCGCTTGATCCAATTCGCTTGCTTTAGCCACTACGGATACGACATTATTCGCGAGAACGTTATTGGAACGCATCCATTTGGTCATGAGCCCTGATGAAGAAAGACTTTGGCGCCGTACGGAAGCTTCATCATGGCTTGAAGATGAAGAACCTCGTGATGAAATATCAACGACCTCATCGTGATGAATAGACTTGGGGCTAGCAAATTTAACAATAAATTGATATTTGGGTTCTTCCATCGC